TCGGGTCGAATTGAATGTCGGCTGTAATATATATTAATTAAATCATCTTCGGCAATTGAGTGTTTTCACTTTCGAATTCGAAATCCATTGACCAGAAAAAAGATGATAATTAGATGAACGGTTTTTAGGCAGACGGGCGCAGTAGCAACCAAATGAAATGAAACCGAAAAAAAAACTTCGCATAACCCTACTCACAATGAATCGATATGTAAATCAAACAAATTATGCACTTTGTTCGCGTTCAGTGGAAAAGAACTGCACAAGACAGAGCAGCATATGGCTCAAATTTCGATTTCATTGATGACAATTAGCCCTCGAAACCAGCACCATTTTACAATTGGAATTTTTCGTCGAATTTTTTTTTTTCGCTTTCGGTCGACAAGCAATTTATTATTGCTCTTGGTACGTCTGAACGTAATTGAAGCCAATATTCTTATATTGTCGCTTGTCTGCTTGTGTTGTACACCAACAACAATCAAGTGAAGACAATAAATATTCTAATGAATTGAGTTAACATTCATTACACACATTTGATAAAGCAGAACAGAAACAGAATTTTTTTTTAGCGATTTCGACTCACTCTGCATGACCTTGATTTCGTACAATTGTTGCTCATTGCGCTTTTTTTCCCTCTGTTTTCTGGCTTTGTTCTTGGTCAGTGAATATACAATTAAACGTCGCAATTCGAAATTGCCGCATTGTTGCTTCATCGGAATCCATCGTTGTTGTCATCGACGACAACGACGACGACGACGACGCGGGCAATTGCTGTCGCTTGCTCAAACATTCGCTCCGGCATAAATGACAATCAAATCACAGACAGACCGACTGGACTGCCACTTCAATCGATGAACTAAGATTTATATCCGAAAAATACCTTTTCAGAATATCAATTACCGACAACAACAACGAAAATAAATCCATCATATCTTTTTTGTTCATTCCAGTCGATCGCATTTTCTATGCTCTCTAAACCAAGTTTATTTTTGGCCATTTTTTTTTCTCTGCTGTCGTTTATTGTTGTATGTCGGCTCGAAATTTTTCGCGTTCAAGAATTTATTTCATTGAGCCACTGATGGAACAAATATATTCATAAATACGTGCATCAAATGAACAAAAACCAATCGCGCTTGTGAACTTCTGTCGTTGTGATGCATTCATAATTAGATTCCAAATTAAAAACCATACAAGACATTTATTAAATATCCGCTTGTTTTGTCTGCACAAAATGAAATGCTAGATTTGCATTTTGATCTAAAAAAAAAGCACAGCCGATGTCATGTTCTTGTTGATGAAGCAATCATAAGTTATTTGTCGAAATTAAGAGCAACTAATCATATTTAAACCTGTTGAAATTCAATTAATGGTACAACATTTGTTTGTTTTATTTAAGATTTTCGAGATAAAATGCATATAAATCACAGTTGTTTTCATTCTCAGCCAGAAAACTCCGCATTGTTTTGATTCAACATGAAATTTGTTTGAATTTCACAAACCGCACTAAATCGATGAGCACAGCCATATCATTAACCAATTCATTATCTTATTGCTACAAACACTTCTGGGCCACAATTGGAAGCATCTACAAAATATGAAACAAGTGCAAAAAATTGTTCGTTGCCAATTTATTGTTCGAAATATATGTGTTTGCCAACTCACAACTCGTGCCCATTAAGCATCTTTTGCATCATCGGAAATGTGCGAGACGGTATTTCATTAAAACATATAAACCAACGCACTAATTAAATTTGTATGTGTTGTGTTGTGTCAGTAGTTTTGATGACAAACACGAAGACGACGACAACGAAGAAGAAGCCGAAGCAAGAAAATACCGAAAAATAATGTGAATTGAATGCGTTGGATGTTGATTTTGATGTCATTAGCCCGCAAAAATATTTTATTCCTATTACAATAATACTGATTTTCGATTACGATTTATTTGTTCGGTACGTGGATCATTTTGGTTAAGCCAAAAGTAGCGCAAAGGTTTCCATTGGGGCATTTTCGGTGGGATTTTAGTCATTAGCGCGCGCTTAAGATGAACGCATAGAGCGGATTATATTGTGTTTGTGTGTGTATGTGTGTGTGCATGGAAAATGTCTATTAGATGTGTGTCGCACAAGCACAGATCTATAAACTTTTCCAATTTATTAGATTGTGTACATGTTTTTCATATGGAATTCGTCGTTCATTCCATTTCTTTGCACAAACATATCCATATATACGGCAAATCTCAGCACAGCACAGCATCAACTATCCAACCAACATCTATTCGCATTTGGCATGGAACGGAAGAGTTTTCCAATTCGGTCAAACCACAGAAACTAGCATGCATACCAAGTGAAATGCGAGAAGGCACACACACACCATAAAATGAATGAAAAAGAGAGAAAAAAAGTATCACATTTGAACATGTTCGCATCGGCTGTGTGTAATATTACCATTTTCGTGATACTTTGTGCCGAATTACATGAATTATTCGGGATTTTGGTTTAATGTCTTTGTAATTAATATTTTTCGCTTTGGCATCTTGACGCATGTTTTGTTCCGTCCGTCTCTCGTGCACACACACACACACACACACACACACACACACACAGACACAGACATCATCAAAATCCTTTACCCGGAAACAACGAAAGAGGCGTTATCAATGGCATTTGATTTGGGCCCCATTACGATTTAGAACTATTTATACACGTATACATATAAATACCTATACAAAAACTGAAACGACCATTACGCTGAAACCCGAATGCAGCCATATTCTCCGGCCAAAGACATTTATTCAGCTCTCGTATACACGAAATTGGTCACATACATGTCATTCGTCGCAATTTCGGAAACAGGAATCAAAAAGTGGCAACAACACCAACTAAAGAGCTGAAAAAAAAAACTTTTCGGACTTATAATAATAATCAGCAGCAGTAGCGCCGCACTTACAAGCACGAATGAGACAAAAAAACGGCATTGCATTCGATTGAAAGTTGAAAGCCGAAAAAAAAAACTTAAAAATGCCTCTCTCTCACCTCGAGCCCTTGAGTCTGAGTGAGAAGCACATAGAAATTGATCGATTCAGTATGCTTATGTCGCCAAATACAATCTCAATGCATTGCAATATCGACATTATCGTTCACATAAAAATAAATACACACATAAATGCCAATTCTAATCTAATAACAAACTTATACCCTGAATATAATTCGGTATGAATGCGTTGCATGAACCGAAAGCGAGATAGAGAGAGAGCACATAAGGCACGACGACGACGACTACGACGGCCATTGTCGATTATCATAGTCGTTGTTGGGCATTGTTGTTGGCAAACGTCGTCGTCGCCGTCACAGACACCGTTATAGTCACATCGTCACCATCATCATCATCATCATCATTTTTATTTGTTCAATGTTCAATTTCTGACCATTGGATCGTTTGCACACAGCACACACAGCATCTCTCATTCATTCTCCATCTCCCTCTCAGTCAGTCTATGTACTAACTAGAGGCTGTTTGCCGTAATCGGCGAACGCAATCCAATTTTCAGGGGAAATGCCAATGCTCACATGAAATGTGCTGCGCACCAAAGATCCTTCTCTATTTGGTCGTTCTTCGGCGAACACGGACGTGCCGTACGTTCAACGGCATGTGCACTTGTCACAAGTGAAGTAAACAAGCCATTTTCTCCTTCACGTGTGTGTGGTGTATGGCATGGATGCCATTCGATTTGCACACAAACATTGTTGAATAGTTTGGCCGTAACAATGAAGGAGAACGTACATCATTTTCGAACATAACATAACAATAATAACAAAGCCACTCAAGTAAACTTGCCGCATAACAATCCATATATACACACTCTATTCCGACAGACGACGATGACGACGACGATAAAAGCACTTCTTTTTCTAGCGCGCGCTCTCTGCCTGGCATACATATACATTAAAAAAACAACAACCAAGAACTAAAACAATGATACGGCGACGATCCATAAGACGAAATCCGTACGGACAGCACCGTACATAGAACGGAGTCAGAGGAATCAAGCGTTGTTTTATTCTTTCTGCTATTGCTCTTATTCTTATTCTGCTTTTGCATTCCGGTCATGAGACACACAAACACGGTAGAGCGAGAGCAAGAGAGTGCGAGCGAGTGAGTGAGTGTGGCGCACGATGTGAATTGGGTATTGCATTGCAAAAACAGTACAAACTCGCAGTCGTTTTGCATCCACTGAACAGTCAATGTGATTTAGCCCGCAGCAGACACACTCACAAAAAAACAAACGAAAATAACAAACTGAATCCGTGCCGCGCTCACATGTTCCACGAAAACGTTACGATCCATGTCTGATGCACTAACGAAACGCGAAGAAAAAAACACAATTCGGTGGAATATTTATCAAAACATTACTAAACATGAATTTTTTGACAAGTCGTACGTATTTAAGCGAAGAAGTTTGAGTGAAATTTATACAGTGTTTGTGTCATAAATGGAAATAATGTTGCCTATATGCCGGCGTTTTAATCATGTGTTTGTGTCGATTATTTTTCTTCGAGCATTTTCACTCAATCACGTAATATCGCCCGTTTTTTTTTGTCTAGTTTGTGTTTTCGCTGTGCGAAATGAGTAAAGTGACTTTTTGAACAGATAGTGCAAATGTCGCATCAGATCTTGCAATAAAAAATAAATAATAAAAAGAAAATTACGATACAGATTTTGATGAATCTTGTGAATGAAATTTTGGAATTTGCATTTATGACCAATTTGCATGAGATTGACACCGTCGCCACAGTGAACAATAGAAAAAAATGTTTGTGTTTTTTTTTATTGCAGTTTCTCTTTTCAAATGTCTTCTGTCATTCTCTCTTTCAATTTAACGAAGAAATGTCCACTCGATAAATTCAAGTGAATATTTTTTTTGCTGCTATTCAATAAGTTTACCCAAATAGAAATTATTTCGTAATTTTATATTTAACCATTTCTATTATCTGTTCCCTTTTCAGTTGTCTCTCCGTCCGTGTGTGTGTGTGTGCTTACGTACTGACGTTTAAAACATTAAAACACATCGTCGTAGCATAAGTCAATATCGGTGTTTATGGAGTGAGACGCTTCCAACGAAAGATGTTATCGATAATTGGATTCTAATTTGATATTCAAACAAGCCAAACCAAGAGAGAGAGAGAGAGAGAGAGAGAGAGAGAGAGAGAGAGGAAGAGAGAAGAAAGTTAAAACGCTTTTAAAAATTTGCGGGTTTTCCTATATTGAATTTTGCATAGTTCGTATTTTTTTGTTACGAAAAGACGAAATAACGACGAAAAAAAATGTAATTAAAAACAAATTACACAAAAGATTTTGCACAAAAGTCAGAGCCGTGAAGATGAAAAATCAATTCGGTTTTAATTGATATTGGACGCGCGAGAAATCGAAACATACAGAGAGAGAGAGAAAAATAAACCCAGTGAAAATCACCGTTACGGTTATAATTAAATTTCTGTACTATTTTTAAATCGTACAGATTTTCGTATAGAAAAAAATTTGCCCACACATTCACATTGCATACAACACACACAACCGAAGAGAGAGAGAGAGAGAGAGAGAGCAAGCGAAACCCGAAATACACATCGAATTTCGATTGGATAGGAAAAAAAATTCACGTTTGCAACCAAAGGAAATGACTGAGTCAACACTGTTGCAAACAACGGAAAATAATAACACAACAACCACAAAAATGGATCGAGCAGTCTCACCGTCACCGTCCGAGCAGCAATACGCTCTCAAATGGAACGATTTCCAGAGTTCAATTTTGTCGTCGTTTCGACATTTACGCGACGAGGAGGATTTCGTCGATGTTACATTAGCCTGTGATATTCGATCGTTTACTGCACACAAGGTCGTTCTCAGCGCATGCAGTCCGTATTTCAGGTAATTGCTTGCTTTGTGTACATCTAATTGTGATTTCATCATCGACTTCGATTTTTTTTTTCCATTCCAACATCTCGTGTCAATACACAATTCAATATTTTGTTTTCTCTTTGTTTTTAATTTCATTTTATTATGTAGAAAACTGCTGAAAGCCAATCCATGCGAGCACCCGATAATAATATTGCGCGACATTCGTGCCGAAGACGTAGAAAGTTTGCTACGTTTCATGTACAATGGTGAGGTGCACATTGGTCACGAACAATTGAGCGATTTCCTGAAAACAGCGCAATTATTGCAAGTTCGTGGTTTGGCCGATGTCACTGGACCACAATCCAAAGGTTTACCACTGTCGACCAGTCTAATACCCGAAACGAATACATCATCAACGGCCAACATCAACGATGTGCATTCATTGCGATCGGGCATGATGGGTTCGTCGTTGCCGAATCCATTGAGCGGTGTTAATACCTCCAAATTGCAGGAGACCAAGGCTTCGCCGGTAAGAAAAGTAATGTCAATGCGTTCATTTTCATTTCTCCTATTTTTTTTTCTGTTTCATTTTGATTCTCTTTGTGAACGTGTTTTCTATCTTTTTTTTCTGTTGTTGTTGTTCGTTTCTAATTTTGTGCGTATCTTTTTTTCTGACTGATCCTTGAAATAAATGTTACACCTGTAGACTTCGACATCGTTACCATGGGAATTGTCCGATGATCGTCGAAAAAGTCATTTGACTCCACCACCGCCGCAAAAGCGAATTAAGAGTGTCGATTTGTATCGTGCTCAACATGGCATCAATCCAGAAGTTGATCCAAACGCATTGAAAGATGTACAACCACTATTGGCAGCCGCTGCAGCCTATCGAGGTCGTGAACGTAACCGTTCAAAGGAAAATATAAATCGATCACGCGACTCATCGTCACAAGATCTCAGCAAAACCGAACTACGCGACTCACTACTTGGACAAGCACTTGAATCATCTGCATCAGCTGTACAGTCAAAATTTTATTTCATTTTTGCCCAGCGATGAAAACTAGTGGACACCACTTATTGAAATCTATCAATGTTTTTCTCTCTTTTGTTTGCAGAAAAAACATCCGGATTTGGCATCACTACAAGCACAAAGCACTGGCGAAGATTCCAACAGCAGCGATCATTCGGCCGCATCAGACACTGGCGATTATGATGACACAATGAACGGTTCAATGGATCAACGCTTTTCGAGTTTCTTAGGTCTTCAAGGTATACCCGGTCTATTGCCTGGCCCATCCGGAATGAATGACAGTTTCGGTAAGTTATCACATTTACCAACATTTCTACTTCAAACAATGAACAAGAAAATTTCGTAGCATTTAGTCTCGTTTGAACACACATTGTAGTTATGAATCATTCCGCGATTAATTCATTATTCAAATGCTTTACAAGCACATACATTATTGGTTTCTTTGTTTTTATTTTGTAAATGTTAAGTGTTTATGTTAAATAAGACATTGAACTTGTGTTACATCGTACGTTTTTGTTTCTGTTCTGTTTCAAATATCAAAATTCAATTCATTTTCAATTTAAATGTGCAAAAAAAAATACGTGATTCCTTATTTTTTGTTGAAATGATAAAATCGAAAGAGAAAAATTAAGAAAAAAACACATTGAACAACGGTTAAAATCGACATCTTCGAAATTAAGATCCGATTTGATAATGGTTTACGATGAAATTCAAACAAAAATCGATTGAACTGGCCGATGCAAATGACAGCGAAAACTTTCCCTTCGCATAACTATGTGAAAAGTCATTCCCATTCAATATAATTCAAATTCGTTAAAGGAAAAAACATCGCAAGATGCGAGATACTCTTCATTTTTCACAATCAACTCAAGATATCGGACCGACTGAATATAGCCAGAGCCACACAAAAAATATGCATGGAAAGGAAAAAAGTGGCCTTTTCAAAGCCGTTCGGTCGTGTTTTTTTTTCTTCTTCGTCCCAATTCATTGTTGTTATTGTTGGCAATATTTTTTTTTGTTTCATTCAAAACGAGAGAGAAAAAAATTGTTACATATGCCAGGATAGTATTGTTATGCATAATGGTGCTATATGTGAATATAATGTTTTCTATAATAAATTCACCGACCAACTGGCACGCACAATCAAGTGACGAGACCGGGCAAATATCCAACACAAAGCAAGCAAGCAAGCGAACAAACGAAAGATAAAAAAAAGAGATGAAGGAAAACGAAACGCATGGCAGGGTGGTACAGCTGAAAAGAATATAATATACGCACGCACGCAAAATATGAATATTAAAAGTGTTCCATGGGATAGTGTAGTACATTTGAAATCAGAATCCAAATGGGCTTTACATTGGGTTTGTTGTTGTTTTTGAATACAGTATGCGTGCTCGGGTGCAGTTTCCAGCTATCCCAGCAGGAATATGTATGTGTGTGTATTTGTCTATTTCACATTTTTTAGTTATGTGTGAACTTTTAACTTAAATGTTTGAGCCCAAACTTTGAATTGTTGTCAATGCTGAATCAGTTGAATCCGTGTCCTGTTTACTGCTGGTCTCCCCGATTCGAATGGATGCTCACTTTTTGCATGTATAACAAACAAACGCACATAAATATTCTGTGTGACCAAAGCTGCTTGAGCAGAGAGCTTCAAATTGCCCTAACACACATACCGAAGAAGAAAGAACAAACCAAAGGAATCAAAAAGGAATCAGTTTGCATTATTCCATATAAATATGGATATGTGAATTGAGTGTGTATGAACAAACGAGCTGGCAGACCATTACAATTTTCCTTTTCACTCGCACACCAAGCGTAACCCGTATAAGCCTACTCTTTAAACACATGCCGCATAAAATACGATATTTATATAAGAATACCAATGGACAGAGCATCTCTTTCGCTCGCTCACGCTGTGCTGTTCCGATTAATCGCCTTACTCATTCGTCGCACATATGC